CACAAGTAGTGAATTTTTACTTTTTGTTTCTCTGTGCTATGGGGAGCATTAAACTCTATGATGTGATAGGGTGTAGTTTGCTTTTTCCCTTTTGCCCAACTGTCAGCAGATAAAAAAGGGAGCCATTTCTGGGTGTGCCTTTGTCCTACAATTTCAGAGTTTATACTGCTCACAGAGCACTGAGAAAGTTAAAATATTTGGAGACATAATCTGCACCTCACAGGATGCTCTTCCATTAGTAGACCTATAAAGAGAGGCTCTGCAGAGAGCAGGCGGAAATCAGACTTCAGTCTGCACCTGAGACACTTCTTAGCTCACAAACTGTCTGACCTGGGGTCAATGTTTGGCTCTGATTTCTGTGTCACTTCACACAAAGCATTTAATCATTGCACATGCCTGTTCTGCATTAATAGAATTCATCTGCAGTGTGGAATTTATCCACCCTGGAGAACACTCGGTAAGAAAGTATTTATTCTCAAGATACTGAGATCAGCCACCCACAGGCCTTCTTGCTTGATCTTTTGCCCCATCATTTCTTACAGGCAGTTGCAGACAATTTTTCATCCAGGCTTTTCTTCTTTGGGATAGATTTTTTTTTCTTTTGGAGGCTGTGTGTGGGTCTGGTTCGCTGCTTGTTCTTTTTAACTTGTACATTGTTGCATTATTTTCATTTCACTCCCTTTTGCCATGAATCCCTGCAATGTGTCTGATAATTCCGTGGTCTGCCCAACCAAGCTTCAGCTTAGAGCCACTTTTGGTGCTCACCTTTTAGCACTTGTGTCTATACACTGCAGAGTTACAATGAATTCTGCTTCTCCATGCTTGTCTCCTCCTGCTGCAAAATACTTTCTCTCCTATTTCCATTCTACCATCTTCCTGACCAGGTTTCCTCTTCCAGCTGAAATTCCGTGCTTACAATCCCAGTCACATTTTCCCAGCTTGCATCCTGTTTCAAAACCTTCCACACTTTATTATTGACTTCTCTGTACAAGTTTCAGCAATTTATTCCAGTGAAAACTGTGCATACCTTTCCCCCAAAAAAGACCATTTGAGCTTCCCATCCCCTCCCAGATTGCCTTGCAGTCTTTGTAAAGATTTTGTGTTATCTTCTCCCCTGATTCAGGTGGAAGTTCCTGAGTCAGGCTCCTTCTCTAATCATCTCCATCTGCCTCAGTGCCATCCTGTTTTGTCTTCAGTCTGTATTTATGTTTTTCCCTCCTTTCCTTCCTTTCTCCTATGACGCTCCAGCTTTTCCCTTCACAGTACAGTCATGCTTCAGTCTTTCCTAATACAGATTTCATACCCTTAGCTTCAATGTACCTTTAGGTGTTCTCCCTTCTCTTTCTCCTTTTCATTTAAGTGTAACTGAAGGTGCAATTTAGAACTTTGAAGATCTACTTTTCAGTTGTATCCTTACTTTTCTTCCCTTTTTGCTTCATCAGACATATTCCACTAAAACCTTTTCTCTCAGAAATGGCCAGGACTGTTATTCAGAGCTTATTCTTCTTGACCCATCAATAACATTCATATAAACTATCAAACATATCAAACCTTTCTCATGATGCCCCTTGTTCTTGGGAAATGGTCCCAATAGATACCTGCAAATTGTCATGTTTATTATCCTATCATGCTTCAAATCTTCTTTAAAATTCTTGTCAATGAAGGCATTGGTGATCCAGCTCATCTCTGCCATTCTGACCAACACTATCTCAGTTTTCCACATGTAGATCCATGTTAACTCTTAATGTTACTCACACTGCTCTTGTGAGAAGACCTGTTTTTTACACTGGATCTATGTACACTGTAGCTCAGTCAGGTCTTGCTCCATAATTGCTGCTCTGAGTTCTACAGCAACAGTAATAACATTAATAGTAGACAGAATCCTATTGACATTCAGCAGTGCAATCAGCACCTTCAAAAATGCTTATAAATAGTACAGAGAAATTATTGGCAGGAAGGTCAGATGTTTCCTAGGTTGCTTAAATAACAGAAAACAAAATTAAATTCCTCTTAATGAGCATGGCTTGAGACTGATTTTCATGGATTAAAACAGATTAACCCACTAAACATAGCTTCAGATCCTGATTCAGTTTTTTCTTTTCCAAAAGCTAAAAGACATTTAAGTTCTTCTTCTATTGATTCAGTCTTTTTTTTTTTTTTTTAATTTTTTTTTTGGTTGTTGTTGTTTTTTGTTTTGGTTTTGGTTTTGTTTTGTTTTTTCCTTTGAATATAAGTGAAAAATTTGGCAAAGTAATGGTTATAGGACAGGTTGCAGCCACATGTTCTGAGTGCTCACTGAGAAAGAAAATCAGATGTAGGGAACTGACTAATAGAGATATGGGCTGAACTGTTGAAAAAGGAGAAGTCTTTCTGAAGAGGACTCCCAAAAGACAAGGATGGAAATGTGGTTTGCTCTGGTGTGTGGCCAAAGATTTTAGTGTGAATATTTGATAATTACAAGCTGTTATCTATGTATGGCAAAGGAACAATTAAGACCTTCCTTATGCTTACATTTTTCTGCTGTCCTGTAAAGGCAATAACATTTGTAGGTCTCCCAAAAGCCTCGCATGTATTTGCAGCATCCTCTCCTGCTTTGCTTTGAAGGACTTTGCTCTTCAACCATGTCATCATTACATTCTTAAGAAAAAGGGCTCTTTATGTCAGGCTTTGTAAAACCTTTACCAAAACAGTGTTCTCGGACTATATTTCACATTCAGCTTCTCATCTTAGCCCTGCTGGCTACAAATTGGCCTTGGATACTCTCTAGCTCTAATGCAGTGATCTCCAGTTCTTCTTAGATGTTGTCTTGTCAATAAAAGCTCTTCAACTACTTCACATTTCTCAACTAGGCAGTCTCACAGACTATCTTGAGTGTCAAATTTAAAATAATAATCTCTTTATCAAACTTCTAATTTGCAAAACCCTGACCCAATATATGTGTTTTCAAAGACCTTTAAGACCACTGAGTCCAGGTGTAAACACTGTCAAGTCCAGCACTAAACTGTGTCCTCAAGTGCCAGATGTGCATGTTTTCCAGTGTTAGTGACTCCCCAACTTCCCTGGGCAGCCTTTTCCAGTGCTTGACAATGTTTCCATGAAAAATTTTTCCTAATACCTGATCTAAATCCCCTCTAGAACAACTTGAGGCTACTTGCTCTTGTTCAGTTCTTGTTACCTGGGAAAAGGGACCAAACCCCACCTGGCTGCACCCTCCTTTCAAGGAGTTGTAGAGAATGACAATGTTCCCCCTGATCAAACACCCCCAGTTGCTCTTCACAGGATTTGTGCTCCAGACCCTTCCCCAGCTCCACTGCCCTTCTCTGGATATGTTTCAGCCCCTCATTGTTTTTCTGGCAGTGAGGAGTCCAGAACTGGACACAGGATTGAGGTGTGAGCTCAGCAGTTCCCAGCACAGGGGACAGTCACTGCCCTGGTCCTGCTGCCACACCATGGCTGATACAGGCCAGGTGCCATTGGCCCTCTTGGCCACCTGGGCAGAGCTGGCTCATGTTCAGCTGCTGTGATCAGCACCCCCAGGTCCTTTTTCACCAAGAATCTTTCTAGCCACACTGTCCCCAGCCTGTGGCACTGCCTGGGGTTGTTGTGACCCCAGTGCAAGACCAGGCACTTGGCTTTGTGGAACCTGGGACCACTGGCCTCAGCACATGGATCCAGCCTGTCCAGATATCTCTGCAGTGCCTTGCTGCCTTCCAGCAGATCAGCACTCCAGCCCAAATTTGTGTCATCTGCAAACAGACTGAGGGTGCACTCGATCCCACCATTCAGCCCATCAGTAAAGATATTAAATAGAATTGGCCCAAATACTGAGCTCTGAGGAGCCCCTCTAGTGACTGGCCACCAGCTGATGAAACTCAGCTCATCATCACTCTCTGGGCCCAGCCATCCAGCTATTTTTTTTTATTCAGGAATTTAATCTCCTGTATTTCCCTACTACCATCTATTTGTATTTTCAGTGTACATTTTTGCTTTCCAAGATACAGTAGAACACAATTTGAGGGATGACTGAAGTGTTTGCATGGTTATTTCCAGTTTTCTTCTTTATGGTTATTACAGTGTATTGATTTTCAGAATGTAATGGTGGGTGGAGTTTTAGGAAATTAAAAATTTCTTCTTATTCTCTGATCTCAATGCAACTGTAAGATTAGGGGGATATTGTCCATGTAACAAGGGAAAATCAGGGAGAAATTCTACCTTGAAAAGTTTCCACTGTCCAATCTCCCAAGACTTATTTTCCTTATATTCTGCCAGTCAAGTCAACCAATTTTTCCTTCATCATTTTTTTTTTTTTAAGTTCATGTAAGAATCAGGGAAATTCATAGGACTTGAAGTTAATCTCACCTAGAGGGCTGAAGTACCCTTCCTAACCTTTCACATTAATCTGGTTTTACTTTTAGGAGGGGAACAGGCATAAGACATCTTTTTTTGCAGGAAAGGACTGACACATTTGTTCCCTTCCAGGTTCATTCCTCTGGTGGCCTGCAGTTCACACACACTCTTTGTTCCCTCAGTATAGGAAAGTTGTAACTTCCAGGATGCTTCACTGCCAGCCAGACCACTCTGGTAAAGACTTGGCTTTATCCAAGCCTTCAAAAATACAGGATTTGGGATAAATGGCAAAAGGATAATCACAATTGCTAAGGAGTCACTAAAAGCCCCCTTGAATTTTTACAAAGCCTTTTCTGCAGAGAAGGCTGTGACTCAAGGGTTGTGGTATTTCTTGGTGTAGAATTTCCAAAATCTGTGTGGTTATATAATCACGAGGTGGTGCAAAGGTGGAGACTTGACAGGAGGAAGGAGTCATTTCTGTGCACATCATCTTGCTACTGAGAATGGACTACCTTGGGATTCTACACATCTTCATACACTGGAGAGGACTTCAGTCCCTAATATCCATCGCTGGGTCTCCATCTCTAATGATCAGTTCCTTCAGGCAATATTTAATTGAGTAATTTTGTGATCAAGATATAAATTTATTACAGGCTGGATTGTGACTGACAAACTCATTTCACCTATGACCTAAACTGAATATGAACTCAACTCTTCTTAGGTAGGAAGCCGAAGTATAAAATTGTTTTCAAATCATTGCCAGGGGATTTAGAGTGCACGATTTTAGTGGTTTAAGCTGGGATTTAAACCTGAAACCAGTTAGTAGAAGAGTTGGCCAAAACTGAGATAGATAAAGCATAATTTTTTTCCAAAGTAGGATCACCTCCCAGAATGTTAGTGTTACAAGAATAGTGCTTTTGGAAGGAAAGGTAAAAATAAAATTTTTATTTTAGCATTGAAATACACAGATGTAATATTTCTCGGAAATATTTCTATATGTTACATTCCTGACTATACACTAAAAGTACAAAAGCTAAAATAAATATTGCAATGTTCACAACGTGTGTTTTTGTATGTTTTTGCTAGTGATGCTAGATATAACACAATTTTAAAAGATATTTTCTGTAAAATGGAATGCAGACAACTCTAATGGCAGATGTTGGTCAACATCTTTTCTTTTAATAAATCCCTAAAAATTTAGCACAGCCAGAAGGAAAGGGGATGGCTTTCTCAAGCATTTTAATATGCTAAAATTAAGCACAGCAAAAATTACATTTATTATGTGCAGTTAATAACTTAATTATCATCAAAATTCTCTCTTTTTTAACAGAAATTAAGGACTCTCTAGCTTTAAGGCTGGGTGAACAAAGACCTTTCAAGAACATTTTCCTGCTCTTCTGTAGGTTTATTGTCTTAATAGATATTCTCATTGATCACTGTTTGCTTTACATTTTTTCACTTCATATTTAAAATTGACATATATTTGAATACTTACCATTATATGGTCAGTGGAGCTATTCATTTAATAGGTCAAATAATCATTATATTTCACTAGGATGCTGGGGTTTAATTCATTTAACATTTTAATCTTCCATCAGTTTTTCCTTTAAGAGGATTTCAGTATATACAGGATTTGTATAAATCTGTGGAGTAAATTTATTCTTTTAACAGTTTTATTCTTTCATCAGAAATTCATTTAAATGGATTCTACTATATATCACATTCACTGCCAATGTGGCTTTAGGTCAGGCTGTAATTGATGCAAAAGCAATGAGGTATTAAAAGAGAAAGGAAATATCTGAAGTTGGAAAGGGTTCAAAAAGTGTGCCATTGTAAGGCCATGACATTCCTCGGATATGATGGGGGCAGGGGATGGACCCCTCATAAACCATTTCTGTCCAAAGCCTGGCATAGTTGCTAATTTCAGGTTCTGCTAAAGTCAGAATCTGTGCCAAGAGTGCCAAGTTTGAAGGGGCACATCAACACAAGAATCCCATATCAGGGTATAAATATGAACTCCTCTATTTGAGACAAGTCTAGAAATATCAAACCAGAAAAATTTGGGGAAAATTCTTTTCTTCTTCTTCTTCAGTTTGCTCATGCAGAGCATTTGGCATATTCAGGATTTGGGGGTGTTGCTTGTTTTTTTGGAGTGTTTGCTGGTTTGGGGTTTTACTTGTTTTGTTTGTTAATGTAGGCTGCTCTGTTGGTATGGGATGCACAGAGCAGTAACTGGAATATGTTCATTTTTCCAAGTTCTGAGGTGGATTGGAAATGGCCAAGCTTAGCAGAAAATAAGCAAGGTAAAACTAGTAGGGGTTTTCATGTGCACAGGCATGAACAGAGAGAAGAGGATTTGTGGGGAAAAGGAAAATGGTGTGTACATTGTGTAAATATGCTAAGATTTCCTACATATAGAAAAAAATAGCAAAGAATATCAATTTCTAAATTTCTACATTTCACTCACTACCATTTAATACATGCAGCATAAAGACTTTAAAAAAATATGAATCAAGGTTAATTAATGACTTAACAAAGTTGTTACACTGCAAGGTGTGGGTTCATACCTCTGTCCAGATCCAGCCCCACAGATGTCTGTTGGTGACCTTGCTGACAAAAGCTTCTTGGCCATGTGTGTGTGGGAGTCAAAGACAGTCCAAAATGCACCTGGCTGTGTGATACCTTCATTGGTATCAGCTGCAGGAGTTGATGGAATTTCTCAGGATATGTGGGGGGGCCTCAGGACCTCTGATAGTGCTGGTGCACTCAAACAACCAACTTGCATAACCTCGAAGTAAACAGAAGAAAATAGTGGTTTAAAGCTGAAAATAGACAGGAAAAAAAAAGCAAAATAGCTGAGGAAAATTCAGAAATTCTGAGGACTTTGATGGGGACATAGAATCCCTAATATTTATGTGTGTGTAAGAAAGACATTTATGGAAACATCACTGTTTTGTAAAGGAAAAACATAAACCTGGATAATTTATTATAAGTGTATGACATATACAGTATATTTTGGTCAATTTAAAATTTATTCTTTTGCTAGAATTTCCAATAGTTGGAAGGAAGTTTGGAATATAAGTAGCATTTCAGCTCTGATGAGGAATGGTTGATTAGATCAATGAAGAAAGATATAATGAAGGGTCTGCTGAACATGCACTGTGCTTCTGATTTTAATTCAGCAAGTAACAAGCTATAAAAATCAATGATTTACATGTAAAACTAAAATGCTATCTCGGAAATTACAATAGTTGCACATAATTTTCGTTTTCACAGTGACCTTTTAGGTGGTATCATGTAATTATTTCTTTTGAAGTAACTTTTTCATCTCAAATATATATTGGGGACCCAGGCTATGGCTGTGAGCACAACCCATTTTGGCTTATGGTTAAAAGTACAGTAAAGGTAAGTTTTAGTATTAGGAGAGGCACAATGCCTAAATCTCCAGCAGTAGTGGGGCTGCAAAAGGGTTGGCACAAGGAGCAATATCCTGCAGAACATTTTCTCTGCTGGCAGTTTTTCCATCTGGGTGATGGCTTTTGAGTGTGGGCCAAGTCTCAGCCCATCCTGGTGGCTGGGGTTAAGGTTAGGAGTGAGATAGTTTGCACTTTCTTCACTCAACCTGATAATGGGTTTTTCATTTTCCTCTCTATGAGAGCTCTGTATTTATAGGATATCCTTCCATCACACTTGAAGTTGCACCCTTAGAATGGTGTGATGGCTAGGGATCTGGTGCCTTCAACTTGCTGCAGTCAATTTGCTTTTGACAACCAAGAAATTTGATTTTTAAAATGAGGAGTAAATCACAGGAAAGGGTTGCCTATAATGGACTTAGCAGAGTTAGGAGCAAGAGTGCAGCAGATTATATCAAGAGGATTTTAAAATAGCTGCACAGTAAAGGAGAGGGAGAATTTGAAGAAAGTTGGGACAGGCAGGTAATAGTTACACAGCTTGGAGGTTCAAAAGCTGTTGTTGACTTGTTATGGTCCACTGTGGCTCTGGTGTGGTACTTGGTTTGATATATGAGGATACCAAGAGCCAGGAGGCTGGCTGAGAACAGCAAGATGGGGTGAAGTGCAGCATGCCCAAAACAGCTGCAGTGTCTCACTGCTCAGTACACCGAGCTGCATGTTTGTTAAATTGAATTATACCTTTAAATTAATTCAATTGAATGTGAGACGAATGAATTATAGATCATTCTTGGTGAGGCTATAAATATGGCTTGATAGAACTCAGCACCACAAATAGGAAAAGCCTACAATAATGTATTTGCATGTTTACATATCACTCCCCTGTGGTGGATTAGCAAGCAGAAAGAAGTCTAAAACCACAGGGGGAAGGTTTAAATAGGATGATGCAGACATTAGTGAATGATTAACCATAATTTCACAAAGGTGGAGGGTAAGCTGTTCATTTTGCAGAATCTCACAAATGTGTTTTGAACGATTAACTAAATTTGCTTGGCAAAAGTTTAATTAAGGCTGCCACTGATTAACGGCAATTATTTAACCCGGTGTATGGGCTGGCTACTCACACTGTGTGGAGAGCACAGAAGCAATGATAGGAAGGTGTTCAGGGGTTCTTGGGACTGTCTGTGCTAGCTAGCCCACCTCCGAGGAGCAGAGGGAATCTGACAACACTGCACAGCTCCCCTGGAAGGGCCCAGGTAGCCCTGGAAAAGTGTCCCTAATGGGGACACAGACAGCATCCCTGCACAGACAGCTCTGTGGGCCAGTGCACCAGGGATGGGGTCAGAGCCCTGTCCTCCCTGCTGAAATGATGGATGCTGCTCCCAACACTCTTGACATTTCTACAAAGCTGCAAAGCCAGACTGGGCCCTGTGTCTGCAAGGAAACTCAAGGCAGGGAATGAATGGAACTCTCATTTCTCCTTTGCTCCTTCTCCCTCCAGCAGCCCTACCCTCCCCTTCCTTCTTGCTGCTCTTCTTCTTTGTGAGAATGAATTTAATCTGTCCCTGGCTGGTTACACCAGTATTTTCAAATGCTGCTTATGGTCTTTTACAGGTAATAGTATTTTGGCACAGTTAGACATGCTCATGAGAACAAATGACGTCTGTTTCACATAATGGCTTTTGGGTTTGTTTTTGTTTTTCTTTTCAGAAGAAGAAAAAAAGACTAGTGCTCTTAATAATAACTTATGACTAAGCTGATTAGGAAATAAGTATTTCCTTGAAAAAATTTTGAGAGTAAGCACAAATATTCCTTTTAAAAAGCACAAATTCTTTTCACAGGTTTATCACAACCATCTTACTTGCCTTTTAACTCAATTTTTAAACATTCTCTCAGCTTTTCATGACAGAGATCCTGGTTTACAGTGAGGTTCTGGTTGTCTGTATCTCAAGCCCCAGTGGGAGATGTTGATTGTCAGATAATTGCAGACCAGGTGAATCTCTCTGATGGATACTGGACACAGCTCTGCCTTCTAAACAGCTCCATGAATGTTACTATAAAATTGGGAAATATGGTACCCTTGGATGGTTGACATAGTGATATATAAGTTAAACACTGTTTATTATTAATGTTCTTTGTAATTAGGAAAACCTGTGCAATCTGGGCAGAATTTCAGTGCCTTCCCAAGACTTGAAAAAGATATATATCCTCCTGTAACTGAAATATCTACTGCTTTTATGCCTAAATCACGCAGTTTACTAGTTTTCCATCCATTTAGTGTGAATACTTCTTATTTTGGAGACACTGAGCA